AGTCCCAGTCTACAATAGGTGTTTTAAGCCCTAAGCCCTAAGAAATTGACCAGTCACAGTCAATTATTCTCTTCAAATTTAACAATTTCTAAAGCCTTGTGTACACGATACTAGAAATCGGTCCGAGTTTCGGTTTAAGTCAATCAACTTGCAGCTCTTACAGAAAAGCAACAGTTTCATTGGCTTATACCGAAACTCGGACCGATTTCTAGTATCGTGTACACAAGGGTTTAAGGCTTAGGGCTTAAAACATCTATTGTAAACCCGAAACCAGGCCTAATGGCTTCTGCCCACTGGGGTCACAGGAGGCGGAAACAAGCGAAAACGCTTGTCGCGCGGCAAGAAGCGACGCGGTAGCCAATAAACTTTTGGTTCTTACGGAAAACCAACACGTTGATTGGCTACCGCGTTGCTCCTTGCCGCGCGGCAAGCGTTTCCGCGTCCTGCACGCAGAAGCCATTGGCTGCGTTCAGCCGAACCTCTGCTTAGCGAAGCAAAAGGTAGCAATTGAATGTGATTGGTTCTTACCTTTGGATCCAACCAATTACACTTAATTGCTACCTTTCGCTTCGCTAAGCAGAGGTTCGGCTGAACGCAGCCAATATATGGATCTCTAACCAACCTAACCTAACCTGCAACAATCTCTGATTGGTCAATCACTGCGCAGTCGCCGCAGCCTCCGGAATGGTACACTTGTTTTCTTTTTTACATCACGCATCACGCTTTCGTCGCTTTCGTCTTTCGTCATCGACAACCCAAACAAGCAGGGTCGCAGCATCGCATCACCCAGCACCTGTGCATGTTGTTCGAAGATTATCGTGATCGACGTGATTGAACGGCGTCAAGGAAGAGATAGAGGAAATAGCGACGAAGGAGATAACCAGGATTTGTGCGAGCGAACGGCGGCGGGCGACGAACTTATAGACGCTATCCCTGAATCGACTCGTCCCATTATCCACGATCGAAAAGGTAATGAAATTCTCCGATACGACTACGCCCGGTTAATGGACAATAACACCGCGCGAAACGAGAGGACGTCGATCGGTCGTTTAGGACGTACTCAATAAAACGGGATAACGAAGCGACGAGAATAACAATCAAATAAAATGGCGAATTAGAATCGTACAAAAGGGGGTTAGGTTTCGATCTAGCGACAACGTGGGGCATAATCCGTTCGTCTCGTGCTCAAGAAAAAGATTTCGCGTGGTTGGAAATACTTTTCCAATCATTAGAAGCCGCTAGAAACGCGACGCAGATCGCGATGGTTCTTATATGACGCGTTTTGACATACTTTTTACAAGCATCGCAAAATGGAGTCAGATAGGTCTAGGTAAACGTGCACTATAAAAGCCAATTCTTCTAGTACTTTCCGGTACCTGAACGGTCCTTTTGTTCTTGCTTTTCTCTCTTTATACGTAGAGCTCTAAACTATCGTCGACCTGCGAAATAATTTTAGAATAATTTTTGTTAAATTAAATTTTTGTTCAAGTTGTTGCTAATTACTTTGTCGAAAACTTACGAACAGAAAGGTTTGAATTTCGCTTATATGGCACTTTCTGCAAAGAACCTTCATACATATCTTAAAGGCAATCTGGTTCCAAGCATTACCTTGTTTAGCCCATCTAACCAAATTTGTCTTTGTGCAGATGCCTAACATAAAGTTGCAAAGCTCCGACGGCGAGGTATTTGAGGTCGACGTCGAGATTGCCAAGTGCTCGGTCACCATCAAGACTATGCTGGAGGATCTTGGTATGGACGAAGACGAGGAGGAAGTTGTGCCTTTGCCAAATGTTAATTCCGCAATCCTAAGAAAGGTTATACAGTGGGCTACGTATCATAAGGATGATCCGCCACCACCGGAGGACGATGAGAACAAAGAGAAGCGCACTGACGATATCAGCTCTTGGGATGCTGACTTCTTGAAGGTGAATATTTCTCGTGGCTGAAATAACATTAAACACTACATCGCAATATCTCTGCTCTTAGAACACAAATGAAAAATAAAAACACTTTTATTATATAATTTAAACCCAGGCTATCGATTAAGCCTTGATCTATTCAACTGTTATTGAGATCCGATAATCTAAGGGTCTCTCAACTTGATTAGTTATTATAATGTTATTTTGTATTTTATACATATATAATATGACAAAATAATGTATATATGTATCTATATAAATATTAATGTTGTAATGAGTAATGAACATTTAAATTGCTAGATTTTTCTGTACGGAAGATATATTCTAGATTCTTCTATATAGAAGCTATACAGAATAATCTAGAATCTAGAATTTATCTTCCGCATAGAAGCTGTACAGAAGAATCTAGAATCTATCTTCCGTATAGAAGTTATACAGAAGAATCCAGAATCTATCTTCTATTCTTCTATTCTCTGTATAAACTTGTAATATGAATGTGTTTGTTGTATAGGTGGATCAAGGAACTCTCTTCGAACTGATTCTGGCAGCTAATTATCTCGATATCAAAGGACTCTTGGACGTCACGTGCAAAACAGTCGCCAATATGATCAAAGGCAAGACGCCCGACGAGATTCGTAAGACATTCAACATCAAGAATGACTTCACAACTATGGAAGAAGAACAAGTGCGCAAGGAGAATGAATGGTGCGAGGAGAAATAGATGCAATCGCGATTTATTACGCGAAAATCTCATAAATGTTAAATGATCCATTTGCGTTATTAGATTTTGAACTTAATCGGAGCTTCATTACTTCAATAAATTTCTCCAATATTTTTTTTTCTTTCCCCAAGGAAGAATAAAATTTTAATTAATTTGTCAAAATCAAATAACATTTACGAATATGTATCACATAGATTCACTGTTATTTATTTCAATTAAATGAAGATAGTGTAACAATTGTGTGAATTAATTTATGAAGTACACACACACTTTACTCCTTAAAATCTGAAAATCTTCGATAGTATCACAAATAATAACTAACTTCGACTCTCCTCATTCGCATGCTTCTAGCATAGGACGTTAGACAACGCTAATGATTTTATATAGTATAAATATAAATTTATATTTAAGAACATATTATGTACACATATGGTTTAATGATATTAAATAAATTTAAAAGTAATTATATCTCTGT